CCACGGACACGGCAGATGCCGCCATGATCGGCAAGCTTCGGGAGAGATACCCGGAACTGCCGGGAGTGCCGGTAATTGGCGACGCCAGCGGAGGAGTAGGAACAATGTTCTCGAGGGTGGGAGTATTGAACGAGGATGGGCAAGAGGTGTGCACGGAAAAATGCATATATAAGCTCATTCTTGGAAAGGGAGAGGATCCTATGGCAGTGAAGTTCCTGTCGGTATGTAAGTTGCTGGGGGAGAAAATGGAAAAGTGTGGGAGAACGAGTGTTGGACTTGCCGCTCCAGCTGCTCTGGGAAATGAGGTGTCCAGAAAGCTTGCGGAGTGGGCGTTTAAAGACAGGAGTTTCAAGGTCGGAGTGATTGGAAAGAGTGGTAAAGAGGCGAGAGTGATTAAGCCCAAGGTGAAAAATGGAGTGGTGATTGTAGAGAAGACGAAGGACAAAACGTATGCCGAACTTCTACAGGGGCTCAGGACGGGCCTGTGTGATAGAAGTGATATTATTATTAAGAGAGTGCGAAAGACAAAACAGCAAGGGGTAGTCCTTGAGCTGGAGGGCGGTAGTGAGGTGGTAGAAAGGGTCAGAAAAGTTGTCACCTCGATGCCCTCCTGCGTTGCGAAAGTGACGACCAGGGGTGGTACAGAGAGGAGAAAACTTCTCTTGATAGGTATGGATGCGGTAACGACAGCCGAGGACGTCGCTGACGCAATCCAGAGAGGTGCTGGCAGCAATGCGTCATGCGATGTGCTAGGAATCAGGCCTTCACGGAATGGCTTAAACGCCACTGTGGAAGTCGATGAGAATGTTGCGAATGTGTTGCTGAAAAAGGAACGACTGAAAGTTGGCTTTGTAGCATGCCTTGTAAGGGAGAAAGTGCCTATCCTGCGATGCTATAGGTGTCAAGCCTATGGGCATACCAGGAATGAATGTAAGGAACCAGAGCGCAAGGGATGCTGGGGATGTGGCCAAGAAGGGCACATTCTCAGGGAATGCACGGCTAAGATAAAGTGTTGCATGAACTGCAATGTAAAAGGTCATTTGAGTGGGTCGAGAGACTACCCAAAGTCGACTACCTGGTCGACGAAGCCAGACGTTGCTCCGAGAGTGGGGCCTAAAGAGGCGCGTATCTTCCTCTCGACATGGCAACGAATTGCAGAACCCCACGTTGGTCGGGAATCGGGGCTGGTTTGTGGATGACGCTGGCGTCGTCGGTGTGCATATCTGTAATCGCAAATTAAGGGTGTATGGGATTGACGCTCATTTGGGCTATATATCAGTGAGAATGGAGAGGCTGAATCTGGTCTGCTGCTATATTTCACCGAATATAGTGGTAGGTGAGTATGAGAATAGGTTAAATGCAATTATGGAAGAGGTGAGGCGACTGGGCAACGAGTGTGTGGTGCTCGGCGACTTCAATGCAAAATCTGCTGAATGGGGCTCGCCGATCACTGGCACTCGGGGTCAAATGTTAATGGAATGGATCGGGGCACTAGATCTAGTGGTTTTAAACACAGGTTTGGAGCTAACTTTTGTGAGAGGCGATTCCAGATCGTACATCGACGTCACCCTCGCTACGCAGGGAACCGCCCGATGTATCAAGGACTGGGCAGTACTGGCGGAGTATACCGGCACGGAGCACCAATTTATCGGCTTTTCGATTGGCAAGACGGGGGACGTTGGGAGTAGACCCAAACCTTGCCTTTCGGGATGCCGAAGATATCAGATAGATTGGAGTGTATATGATGAGAGTATTAGATGGGAGGTACATGGAGCCCGACGTCTTACACCTTCGGTGGAAGGCCTCGAGCAGGTTATGAAAGCCGCGATGCATATGAGTAAAATTGGGACTGAGCGTACGGGTAGAATGCCTTACTGGTGGTGTGTCGAGATAGAGCAACTGAGAAGAGAGTGCGTGGCCCTTCGCCGGCACTTGATAAGGGCGAGAATACGTCGGAGCGCGGAAGAGGTGGAACGTGTGGATACGTCTTACCGTGCGAAGAAGAAGGAGTTGATTAGGAGGATCCGAGCCGAGAAGAAGAGACACTGGAGGCTACTGTGTGACAAGCTGGACGAGGACATCTGGGGTGAAGGGTATAAGATTGCAATGAAGCATTTCGACGCCTGTACTCCGTATGGCATGCCATTGGACCAGAAGCTGGACATAGTCACCGAACTGTTTCCACAAGGACCGTGGCATGGTGTGCGGAGAGACGTCGAGGCTGAGTGTGGGTTTCCCTTTACTTTGGATGAACTGGCTGTGGCGGTGAGTTCCCTTAAGTCTGGTAGGGCTCCCGGTCTGGATGGTGTCCCACCTGAGGCGGTTATACATCTTGGCCGTTTGGAGCCCACGTGGCTGCTGAAACACATGAATGCTCTTCTTGTCGCGCAGTCTTTTCCGGATCCCTGGAAAATCTCGAGGCTCGTGCTCCTGCCTAAATTCAAGGCAGGAAAATATCGTCCTATTTGCCTAATACATTGCAGTGGGGTCACGTAATGAGCTCTTTTGAAGCAAGGTACTGTCCTGGGTATCTGAGGAATGTGGTCGCTGATTATCTTTCCGAGAGGAAGATTGTGGTGGAAAATGGTGTGATGGTGGATGTAACGGCTGGGGTCCCGCAGGGCTCCGTCCTGGGTCCGACGCTGTGGAACCTGGCATATGACGGGGTCTTAAATTGCGAATATGAGGAGGGTGTGACCCCCTTTGCATTCGCGGACGACCTTGCTATGCTGGTGGCTGCACGGGACAGGGAGGAACTCTTGCTTCGGATTACGCGTGCGTGTGTTCTAGTTGAGGATTGGATGAGTGAGCATGATCTTTCTCTCGCGGAGGATAAGACGGAGGCTGTAGTACTCAGAGGCTACAGAAAGAGAGATAGGGTGGAATTTGAGTGCGCGGGAGCGAGAGTGACGCCCAAAAAGTACGTTAAGTATTTGGGAGTTACCCTCCACCAGAGTGGGAGCTGGGGGGAACATTTGAGGGGGGTGACCCGCAGAGCTGTTCAGAGAATGGCTGCGCTGGGGAGGATAATGCCTAATATCGGTGGTCCCAAATCCGAAAGGAGAAGGGTGCTCCACGGTCTTGTGCAGTCTATCGTCCTCTACGCGGCCCCAGTCTGGAGTGACGCGGTAGAAATACCAACTTACAAGAGGCTCATGGTACGCGTGGACAGAACTAGTCTGCTGCAGGTAGCATGTTCCTACAGGACTGTGTCAGCTGCCGCTCTGTGTGTTATCACCGGCTGTGTTCCTTTACATGTGCTGGCAGGTGAAAGGGCAAGGATTTACAGTCGTAGGGGACGGAACATTGGAGAGCGAGAAATGAATGAGATAAGACTGGCCGAGAGATTAGTTTCAATCGGACAGTGGCAACAAGAGTGGGGGACAACACGTGATGTGGCAGAGTGGACGAAGTCACTAATCCCGAACCTTCGAAGCTGGGTGGACTGTGGGCATAGGCAGCTGGATTACTATCTAACGCAAATGCTCACAGGCCATGGCTGCTTCCGCAGCTACCTTTTCAGGTTTAGGAGGGCTCAGTCCGATCAGTGCCTTTACTGTGGTTTCTCGGACACTGTGACACACACGATGTTGGAGTGTGAGCGTTGGGCGGATGAAAGAGAGAAGTTTGTAAGAGAGTGTAACTGCAGAATGTTTGATTCCGTGAGAGAAATGGTGGAGAAAATGATGAGGGATAAGTGGTGGTGGACACGGATCCACAAATTTGTCAGGGAGCTGCTCTCCTCAAAAGAACGAGAAGAGAGGGAACTCGCAACAGAATTTTAAGACAAGCGAGTAGCACCTTGGTAGGGTTCGGACTGTCGCAGGCCGAACTAAGAGTGAGTAAGAAACAGACGACGCGAGAGAGATGGCAGCCTCGCTAAGGCAGGGGGTTGAAAGTCCTTGGTGGTTCGTGTGGGTGTGGTTTCCTGGATGAATGTGTCGGAGAAAGAATGGGAATCGGGTGATAGCAGGGCATCGGGAGAGATGTATGCCTTAACTGGCCCTTCCATCCTGATGTCTCGTGTGACAGAGGAGAGGTTTTTAGTTGGACGCCGACCGTCTCGGAGTGGTGACGGGGCGAGGTGTCAAGGGTCTAAATTCCTTGGGCATCTCGCCCCTGCACAACTTCGCTAGGGTATTAGGAACCCAACACTACCTGTGTGAGTCACAGGTGTCTGTATGCAGATTTTCCTTCTTCTCTTTAAAGATGTAAAAAAAAAGATATGGAGTTGTGTAAATTAGTAGTATATATATATATATATATATATATATATATATATATATATATATATATATATATATATATATATATATATATTCAAAAGTAATGGTGCAAGGACTGATCCTGGTAAAGGACTGGACCAAGACTAGGCACTTTTATTATCTAGAAACATCGTTCCATTATACTCGTTTTCAGTTAAGCCTATTTGTATGTCTATAACTAAGTTTAGTTAGTTTTCATTAGATTCAGTCTTTTGCGACATGTTAAAACTGTTTGTTTAATATGTTCCTGCCAATTAAGTTGTTGATCAAACCACATACCTAAAAACTTTACCGTTGGTTTAAATGAGAGGATGGTATAATATCATTTTAAGGTAGGGGGCGTTGATGAAACCTTTTTGGAGAAAAAATTTGATGATTGTGTTTTAGGTTTTAGAACATGCACAACATTTTTAGTAAGAATAACTTTTTTCATCAAACAAAAAATAAAAAAGTTTCCTATATATTATGGTGTCGACTTAATTTGACACACTGTATAGGTGTAACACATCTGCCTAAGTCCCAAGGACTTGTATAGTTAATAGAAGATGTACAATTAGTCAATTGAAAAAATAGTCAAGAGAAAATTGTTTTTATATCTTTTTTATTTTTATTTAAAATAACTCTCCTTGTACATTTTAATATCCCCCAAATCAATAAGAATCTACGCCTATGTTAATAAAATGATTATTGAAAATATTTTCTGCTAACTTCACACTTCACACCAGCTAGTGACGACTGACGGCTAAATAAACACACTAAACACAAGACAGAAGACAGATCTTTCAAAGTAATTGTTTAATTTCAATTGTTGTGAGATTGCTTGCTTATTTTAGGATTTAATTTAAATAACAAGTGTTTTTAAATAATTTAAATATCCTATTTCTCTAGGAAGCTAAGTAATTTCATATATTAAGATATTCCGATATGGAATCTTTGGAAATTGATGATTTCCTGGAAGAACTTTAATTAATTAATTAGTTTAAGTGCTTATCAATTATGATTCACAAGAATTAAAAATATGAAATTGTACCAAATCATAAACAATACACAAGATGTCTGCATTTAATATAAAACCATCAGGTGGCTGGATTCATTCTGACAAGCTTATTGCAAAGAAAGGGGCTACTTATGCTGTGAAGGTAATTTTCAATATTTATTCCTCAATTTGATACATAATAAAAAATTAGACAATTATATTATCAGATTATAGTATTCAGTACCATCTACCATAGTCCAGACATAAATTCTTTAAATGTTTAAATTACAAAAACTATGTAAGTTCTTATGGATCTTCCCTTTTTTTCTTTCAATTTGTATCATTCCATTTGTGATGTCAGAGAGTGTAGTTAAGGTATATGAACATTCTTCATGGCTGTTCCATGTTACATAGCTAGAAATAACTTCCTTGTTTTATAGGTGTGTATGGTAAAATTTCAAAGAGAGACGTAACATAAACTTTACTGTGACCAATGCAAATTTTGGAAGTTATTTTTTAGCCAATGAATAAGACAAAAATTAATAAAAGACATTGTACTTATATAAAAGCTCATGTATAATGAACAAAAGCATAGTATATATATATTAATTGAATGTATGTACAAAGTTAACTAAAACCATTTCTTGAAAAAACTATGTTATTTTGGATGTTCAAATTTTTTGAGTTTCTTTCATGCCGTAGAATCCTTTAGTAATGCTTTGATAAGTAAATTCATTTACAACACATCTCAATTACAACAACACTCTCTCCTGACAACACCTCAGATACTCCCACAGACTGTACCCTGTTCTCAAGATATGATTGGATCAACTCGTCGGCTTAGTGACACAAAAATGTATCTCAAAAATGACTACTTTTCAGGAGAGCATATTTAAGGTTTTTAAAAAGATGATTTGCATTTTGTAATAACCTGCAGTTTATTCTCAACTTTTTTGTTCCGAATTATTAATCTTAGAAATGTTTTCATTGCCGTAATACAATCATACGCAACAATGGATAAATTGTGTTCTCAAAATATCAACAATTAGATAAAGTAGCTGAGATACACTTTTGTGTCCCTACCTGAAAAGTCTATTGAGACTTACATAGGTACCATTTAATTTTAGAAAAGCTTAATCTTAATCCTATTACAGTCATTTGTATTGGAGTGATATCGATAAAGAGATGAACATACTGAGTGGCAGGTATAATAATGAAAAGTACAATAGATTAAAATTTATTAATCTCTACCTGGTCCGAAAACTTTACCAAGCCATTTAAATACAAATGCTTTTAATAGGATTAAGACTAAGCTTTTCTAAAATGAAATGGTACCTACTTGTAATTTGTTGCTATAGCATTATAATAAATATTATAATATATAGCAATTTACTAATAATAAAATAAAAATAATAATCGTAATTCATTTTATAACTTTTTATTGTTCTGACGATATTTTCTTGTGGCATTAAATGCTGTTTAAAAGTCTTGATGGAAATAACCACAATATTATTTATTAAAAAAAAGAAACTTTATAAAATGTTTGGATAACGATTTCTGAATTTAGAAGTAGAAACGTCAATAAAGTTTTTTTTAATAAATAGATTGTGGTTATTCCCATCGAGACGTTTATACCATTATTTAAATCATAAAATATTTTTTTTTAATTAAACATAAACTTTAAAAACATTTTCAAACAATCATTTTAATTATGTTAATCACTTTGCACATCTGATTGGTTGTCCATATTGTTGGTGAGCAACGACTTAAAGAAGATATGATACTGGGAAGGAATAATGCCTTTATTACACAACTCTTGTTCATATCCCGATCCATTGGGGTCACTGATAGAATATGCGAGGCACTATTTGAATGTATCACTTGTGATAAGAACGGTAAATTATGAATGTATTTCATCAGAATCGACATCAAAAAATATATCCTCACATTGTTCATACCCTGATAAATTAGGTTCACTGGTAGAAACATGACAGGCACTATCTGAATATGTCACTTGTTATGATGAAAGCGCTAAATTATGACTATGCGTTTCATCATCTCGTACCAATTTGTTAAGAGCTAACAAAACTAACTTCTTCCCTCTTGAATCCATTATTGTGTAATAATAAAATTATAAAACCGTATTATAACGATTATTATAACAATCTCTACAATAATTAACTTAAGACTGATTCACATGTTTACATCTTCACAGTTGTAACAGAACTGGAAAGGCAACGGACCACCGTGATAAATATAATAAACAAATTATAAACTAATTCACGTGTTTCACAGCTATAACATCATCATCATCATGGCTTATTCACTCCTGGCGGAGTGTTTGCCGCCCTTTCGGGCTCTCTGATTCATTTATTGCGGAGAATCAGTCCGCTGTTGTTTTTTTATTATTATAGCAGCGTGTGTGACTTGGCCCTGTCTACAATTTTCCTCCATTCTTTCTGGTCCTTACAGCGCTCCTTCCAATTGTAGATTCTCAGCTTCTTTATGTCTCCTAACACTTGACCTCTCCATCTTGTTTTGGATCTCCCCTTTGGTCTCTTTGTTGTTGGTCTTCATCCAGTTATTTGCTATAACATAGAGTCTGGGTTAGCTCTTTCTGTTTGCCCCAACTACCTGAGTCTTTGCGTCTTCACGAACTTGATTATGTCTTCACCCTCGATGACTTCTTTAATTTCTTCATTGGTTAATCTTCTAAATTCTCCTACACTTATCATCACCAGTCCCATTATTCGTCGAATTATCTTTCTCTCTAAGATTTCCAACCTCATTTCATCTTTTTGTGTTAGGCACATCGTCTCTGCACCATAAGTGATCACTGGCCTGATTGCAGTCTTGTAAATTTTTAATTTGGTTTTCTTACTAATGTGCTTTTCTTTCAGTAATTTTTGGTAGTTCCAGTAGGTTTTATTACCCAGTAGGATGCGTTCATTTATTTCATCCGTTCTATCATTTCTATCATTCACCATTACTCCCAGGTATTTGAAACAGTGTACTCTTTCAAATGTATATGCACCAAGCTTAATTTCTTTCTCTATGTTCGTATTCTCTCTTGAACACTTGAGGTATTTCGTTTTGCTTTGGTTTATTAGTGGCCCTCTCTTCTTTGCTTCTTTATCTAGTATTAATATTATGTTCTGCATGGTTTTTAAATCTCTAGTAACCAGTGCAATATCATCTGCATACGCTATCAGTTGGGCTGAAGATTCGATAATTGTTCCCATGATTTTGGCTGCTCTTACTGCCCCCTCTATGGCAATGTTAAATAATGTTGTTGACAGGGAGTCTCCCTGTCTGACACCTTCCTCCATTTGTACTTCATCTGACGGGCCTTCCCTGCCGTGCCTTGCCTGTATATGTAGATCTATTCCGTGCTCGTAACTTTTTTCGACGATTTGCGTTACAATGTGTATTGCATCTATTGTTGACTTACCTTCTCTGAATCCATGTTGGTATTCACCTATTTTTGTTCTAGTTTCTTTTTCTATTCTTTGTCTGATCAAGTTAGTTAATATTTTGTACATTGTATTTAATAACGTGATTTCCCTGTAGTTAGTGCATTTCGTCTTGTCGCCTTTTTTTAGGGATTGGTGTTATCAGACCACAATTCCAGTCGTTCGGCATGCGTTCTTCTTCCCATATTCGTTCTATTAGGTTGTGGATTCTGTGGGCCAGTTCCTCTCCCCCTTTCTTGAAGAACTCATTTATAATGTCATGTGTTCCTGCTGCTTTCCTTGTCTTTAATCTGTTTATAGTCGCCAATAATTCGCTGTATGAGGGAGGTTCTGATTTTTCTCCATTCCTATTTTCTGTTTGTTCTTCATTTTATGCGTTTTCAGCATCGTCTTTCTTTTTAAACAGTTCTCTATAGTGTGTTTTCCATTCCCATTTTTCCAATATTTGCTGGTATCTCTTTTCTTCTCTGTGATTTTATGTATTTGTATAGTCTTGCATTGTCATTACTATTGGCTTCGAGTTCCTGCAGTAATTCTTCGATCCATTTCTTCTTTTTTGTTTTCCAGCATTTGTCTGAATCTTTCTTCTTCTCTTTATAGTGTAGGAGATCTTCTTGTTTCCCTGTGGCCACCCACCTGTGTCTTGCTTTGTCCTTGTCTTTACTAACTTGCTCGCATTCTTCATTGTACCAATCCTTTCTTTTATTGTCTTCCATTAGTCCTATCGTCTCCTCTGCTGTTGTTAAGATACTATATTTTATGTCTTCCCATGTTTTATCTCTGTTCGATGGTTTTAGGACTCGTAGTTTTTCTTCCAATTTAGTGCAGAATTTTCTGTTTGCATTATCTGTATTTAGTTTCGACCGATTCCACCTCTTTCTTTTCTTTCTGTCGTTTTTATCTTTAAGTATCTTCAATTTCATGTCGCCTATCACCAAAATGTGATCCGAATCAGCATTGGCTCCCCTGTAAGACCTTACATTCTGTAAAATTCTTCTCCATTTTTTTGAGATTAGGATGTGGTCTATTTGGTTTCCATCTGTTGTTCCAGGTATTAGCCACGTTACTTTGTGCTCTTTTTTGTGCTTGAATTGAGTGCTAATAATAAAAGTATTGGTTGCTGCTGCTAGATTACATATTCTCCTGCCATTGTTATTCGTATTTTGATGGATCGTTTCTTTTCTTGCGATTTCTCTGTTCGTGTCTTCTTTCCCTATCTTTGCGTTGAAGTCTCCTAACAGGATTAGTATGTCGTTCTTTGGTATTTCTTCGTACAATTCTTCAAGTTTCTCATAGAATTCATTCTTTTCTTCTTCAGGAGCATTCTCAGTAGGGGCATATATGTTAACAAATGTTAAATTTGCTTGTTTATTTTTCATTCTAATATACCACTCTTCCATCCACCGCTTTAAAGTTAATAATCTTGTCTCTTACGCTATTACTAACTAGAAAGGCAGTTCCATTGCGCCCCTGTTTGCTTTCTCCTGCGTAGTACATTGTGTAATTTCTTCTAGCAACCATCCCTTCTCCTGCCCACCTTATTTCTTGTAGCCCTAGTATTCCCATCTTGTATTTTATCATTTCTTTTGCCAACTCTTCCATTTTGCCTGGTCTTAGAAGTGTTTTGATATTCCACGTTCCTTTTCTTATTTTCCTATTTTTGTTTTTTGCTTTATTTTGTTTTGTTTTGTATTTGCGTCTTTTCTTACAAAACAGTTTCATGTCCGTATTCATTGCCAACTCCGTTATACTGTCGCCGTCTTTTGTTATATTTTTTGTTAGTTTTTTGACGCCATTTTCATCAATTTTCCTCTTGGATCTATATTATCAGATATGGGAGATCTGTCGTTTATTGTCCTAGCGTTACCCTTCTTCTCTTCAGGTTTCTTCCAGTAATTTACATCTATGCCTTCTAGTTGCTCCAGTGAGAACGGTTCACCATTTATCCATAATTTGTTGTATTTTAATGCAGCTGTGTGTCCTTCCTGGTGTACCATTTTCATGTGCTGGAGAAGATGCTTCCTTTCTTGTAGTATTTTCTTCGGGAAGTCTTCATTGATATATATTTTAGTTCTTCTTAGGTTTTTAGCAGCCTTCAGAATTTCCATTCTCGTAGCTTCCTTTTTCATTTCTAATATGATGGGTCTGGGTACATTTTAGGGACCACCTTGTCTGACTATTCTTCTCATCTCTACCAATTCTTCATCTAGATTTGTTTGTACGCCGATTTTTTTCATTATCCCCTTTATCTTATTTATCGTCCCTTGTTCGCTTTCTGTTTGGTTTTCTTCGACCCCCTGTATTACTATGTTTTTTCTTTTAGCTTGTTTTTCCAGTATTTCGATTCTAACTTCTTGTTCTGTGATTTTAGTTCTCATTGCTTTGTTATCTGCCTTCAACTGTTCGTTTTCTTTATTTAATTTATCCAGGTCTACTTGCATTTTATCTATTTTGCTTTCGATTCTTACATTTCTTTCGTCGATTTTCTCTAATTTTTCTAGTATCTGTTCCATTGTACCGCGGTAAGGGTGTCCGCCCAATCGACTTGTCGGAGCTTCAACTCTTCTCAGCACTTTGGAGTTATACTCAGATTTGGATTTTCGTAATAATGATTCGGCTTTAATGCAGAAATTTTTCAATAGCCGTAACGTCTCTTTTATTTCAGACAGCACTTCAGCTCTTATCGGGATGTTTTTGTCTATTGTTTATTAATTGTTTAAAGAGGTTATTGCGCTTTTTGCAATGCTTACTCACTGATATCTGCTGAATTTTGACGAAATATTTTTATCGGAAGAACAGCCTTCGGTCTGAATTCACTGTAGTCTATTTGTATTAGTTTATTTTTCACTTTGTTACACTAAATTTATATTTTAATACGGAGCGTATTTTGACAGTATCGTTCGGATTCAAGCCTCGATGCCAAGTCCCACAGCTATAACAAAACTGCAAATACAACAGGCCACCCTGCTAAACATAATAAACAAATTATCAAATCCACAGTTACTACCTGCAACCACCATTCAGTGCAATAAAATTTATGCCACAAAAAGGTAACTCAATATCAGCTTATTTATAGTACAAAAACATAGTATCACAGAAATGTAACAGTACTTACATTTCTGTGACACTAAAAGATTGCTAAAAAATGTAGTTAAGAAAACTCCTAATTGGGGTTTTAAGTGCTCGGAGAGATATAATTTTGTATCACTCAATAGAACTCACTAAGGTAAGTTCAGTGGTGTAGATATCTCAAAACGGGAAAAAATCTAGTTACATTTTTGTGTCACTTAGCCGACGAACTTGACACTCTGTGGATAGAAGTTGTGCCTTGTAGTTTTTTCTGGAGTATCCTATGGTTCGTACAATCAAACCTTACTTAAGTCACAAAACACAACAGTGTTGAATTGCATCCTATTAAAGGATTCCTAGATGCGGGATACTAGGTCAAGAATGCCAAGAATTGTGCTCCTTTCCTTCCTGAAACCAAACTTTGATCCTAGAAAATAATTGTGACTTTCGAAAAAACTTGTTAGTAATCCCATGGCCTTTTCTACTATTTTAGAGACGATTGGAAGTAATTAATAAGGCTGCACTCCTGAAATTCTCAGTGACATCAATTAAATAAATATTGGATAATTGTGTAGAATGGATGCTAAAATGCAATATCATTTTATCTGATTTTTATGTAAAATATATTTACTGATGGTAGATTTTTGCTTTAGTATGTGGGATGCCTGGAGGTTAAAGTTTCCATGAAAAAATTAAATTTCAAAACAAGATCTGGTGTTGCAAAGTAAGTATTTTTTAAATATTTTTTTGTTTCACACATTTGTGATGTATATACAGTCGGTCCGCCGGATCTTTGCACAAGTATGACATTATTCACGAATCATTTTTTATGTTACGTCTCTTTCCTACTCACAGAAACTAAAACTATTAACTTATTAACTTAAACCGCCTGTCCATACACAACACCATGCATTGAACAAAGACAGCCATAGAACAATGATCTCTGATTGATTCGTCTACTGACAATTGACATGTCAATTGGAAATTTTGTTTTGACAGAGTTTGTAATATTTTTATAAATTATTTTCGTTTGATTTAAATAATCATTCCTTTTTCATACTTTAAATATACTTACATATTTTTTAACAAACAGTTGTTGTAACGACTAACCCTTACCTTTATGTTCAATTTATTAAGGTAAGAATTCATGTATTAGCTAATAAGGAATAATATATTTTTTTAACCTCTAAATTGACATTAATTATTTAAATATAGCTAAAACTCCGTCAACGGGCAATATGAAATATTATGCTTATATTAAATAAAAATACTTTAATTTCTGATTACTATGGTTTAAATATTTATTTACTGTAGATGTTATTGGACAACTTGGAAAATCACGTTCATAAATGTATATGTACCCAGTTTTTAAAATGCAATAAATGAAATAAAAGAGAAGTATAAAAACGTCAATTGTAATATTAGCCATTTTCTAATTTTTATAATAATTCTTATAGCCGACACATACGTTTGACTCACATGTTTTGATTTATTTCCTATAATAAGAATGATGACGATGTGCAAAGATCCGGCGGATCGACAATATATATATAATATATATATATATATATATATATATATATATATAAAGAATCATGTCCAAAACTATATTTCTTGTTAAACCAGTAGCTGCATGAATCAAAGAATTGTACAATTTGGTTATTTACACATGATTCCAAGATCTTTGACATGGCTGTTAGAAAAGATATTGGCCGATAACTTCTAGGTTGCTTTGAGTCCCCTACTTTATATAGTGGTACCACTATCACCATTGTCATAGAGTTTGGTATCAATCCAGTGATAAGAGAGAGGGTATCTAATTTAGTTATAATTGTTAGTAGTTTCTCTGCAAACTCTCTTATAATATCCAGACTAAAGCCATTACAGCCTGGAGATTTTCCTTTTTTTAGTTTTCTTATGACCTCTTTATATTGTTTTCCAAGATTTGTTGCCATTCAAATATGTATTTTCCTTGCTCTGTATTTACTGGATGTTTTGATGGAGGTGCTATTTTATTACTAGAGATTTTCCTGCATGTGCAAAGTACTGATTTAATTCATTACATATGTCCTCAGCTCTATTGAACGTAAAATTATGATATTGTTACTGTCTTTTTTATATGTTTTGAGTTGTGGATAATATGATTTAATGTTAATAAAACTTGTTTGCTTGTTAATAATAGTATTGCACCTTATATTAGTTATATTTCGGTTTCAAATAACAGAACAACTGTTTTTTACGTCTTTCCGTACAATTTTTTGAAAATTATTTTTTACACAAACCTGATAATAATAAACAACAAAAAAAAAAGAATTATTTAATTTGGTGCAGTCGTTCTGAAGTTATGCGCTTACAAACATTTCGGAGATTCATTTTTATTTATATATACGTATACAGTAGAGCGTCGATAATCCGAACTCTGTTAATCCGAACGTTTGCTAATCTGAACGCAAAAAAATTGTAAAATTAAAAAATATGATCGCGGACACAAAGTTGGAAGATTCTGTTTATTTATGGTTTACTCAGAGGTGTAGATTGGGCGATATCTGGCCCACTCCTCTGTGAAATATCCTTGTGATTAAATAAAAAGCTGAACGGGCCCACCGACTTCAAATCAAGTACCGGATGGTTAAAAAATTTTAAAATGCGGCACGCCATTAGAGAACTTCAAATTGAAGGAGAAATTTTGTCGGGCGACAGTGCTGCAGCAGAAGCATTTAAAATAAAATTCAGCGAGCTCGTAAAATCTCAAAATTATTCAAGGGATGACGTTTATAACGCAGACGAAACAGGTATAAATTGGCATGCGCTCCCAAGCAAATCCCTCTCATCTCGTCGAGAAAAATAGGTCCTGGTTATAAAGTAAGCAAGGACAGAATTACAGCCATGGTATGTTCAAACGCAAATGGCACGCATGCTCTTCCTTTGCTGGTAATGTCTGTCTGTTACGATAATGCACTTCATCGTTCTACTCTTTTCGAAGAAGATTAGGGCTTCCAAAATAGCTGTAGCTTCACCTGTTAGTATACTGCAGTTGGTTGGTATCGATATGCTATAAGAATTTTCTTTACAGTAGTAGGCAGCAGCGTGACCATTGGGAGTTTTAGAGGCATCGGTAAAGATTTGCAAATAATTCGGATAGTGGTCTAGAATTTCCATGATTAGAGATTTAATTATTGTGGAATTTGTAGTTGATTTGGGTTACTTGGTAAGTGTTACATCAATAGTTAATGGGTGGCTTGTCCATAGGGGATAGTTTGCATTTATATGTAGCGATGCATTGAAATGATTCCTATCGAAAGTTGTAAGCTTTATTCTTTCTATGGGGGGTGTAGAGATTTTAGTCTTATTATTAGGAGGAAGGCCAGGGTTGCAGATATGTAGGAATACAGGATGCTGTTTCTGGGATGATATCTTTGCAATGTAGTTCAAGGACAGTTGCTGTCGTCTTATATGTAAGGGAGGTTCTCCAGTTAGAACTTGCATACTACTAACCGGACTAGTTTTAAAAGCTCCCAGCGCTAATCTCACAGCTGTAGTTTGAATACTGTTTAGTTTTTTAGAGTGGTTTTACATGCAGTATCGTAACATATACAACCATAGTTGGTTTTAGTTCTAATGAGCGATTTGTAAAGCCTAATTAATATTTTATGATCAGCACCCCAAATTTTGTTGGATAATATTTTGAGTATATTTAATCTCTTTTGACCGGAAAGCTGTAGTTTATTTATGTGCGAATTCCAATTTAAAGTTCTCTCAAAAGTTAGACCTAGAAAGTTTATTTCTTTTGACTGTTCTAAAGGTAAATTATTTAATGCTAGACTAGTTGTGAGGTGGGTTTTATTTTTATTAAAAATAATGTATCGTGTTTTTTCAGTAGAAAAAATCTAAGATGTTTATACCCGAAGTCTAGCTGCTTATTGACAATGCGCCGACTTATCCTGGATTAGACCGTTTAAACGCAGTTGATGAAGATTTTGTGGTGATGTTTTTCTCCCAATATAACGGCTCTTTTGCACCCATGGATCAGGAAATCATTGTTAAATGTAAGAAATTGTACCTGAAAGCAAGTGTTACAACATTTGCTTATGTGTCTCGCTGAACGAGACGAAGATAGCGTGATCACTTTTTCGAAACAGTAAATTTAAAAGACTACTGTCATATGTTAGCGGACTCGTGGGATAGTTTGACTAATGAAAATTTAAAAAATGGACGGAATAAATTATGGAAAATACAATATGACTAACAAATCGAAAGCGTTCAGGGCGAAAATATATGACAGATATCGCTGCAATATGTCAAAATATACCTGGGTTCGAAGAATGTGACGAACAGGATGTTAATGAATGCCTCGAATTCGATCATAATCCACAAGGACATCAAATTTATGAGGACGATGAAATTGTCGATATCGTTTCTAACATGGTTGACGATAACGCCGAGGACAGCAGCGACGATGACCATGATAATGATGATCTACAGCCTTCACATTCCGATGCATTTAACTCATTGGAAACTGCTATGAAGCGATTCGAGAACCAGCCTGAGTCTAATTCGATGCAGTTGCTAGTGCTGAAAAGAATCCGCGATTCTTTTCAGCACTAGCAATGTTACAATTTATTATCAATTTATTAAATAACTTTACAATCATTTATCACGTTCGTACATTTTAAACCACGTTCCGCGAGTTTCTTTTCTTCACTAACTGCTCAATGAAAATCTTCCGTTATTTATTTGAAACCAGCTGGTAAATAGAATGTTGTGGAAAATACGATGCCGTTCTCGACGTAGACACAGCGGCAATGATCTAAAAACTGGTATCGGTACGATTCCAGAAAGCTCTTATTTGTTGTTTTTATGGCGAAGGGAAACCCATCGTGTGGCAGGTAGATTTTGACCTAGAAATTACGAGAATCAATAAAAAATAATTAGTCATAAAATATTTACAGTGTTATACGCCATAACATTTTATCATAACATTGCCCCCCTCTTAAAAGATGGTTCCTCCTGGAACCTTGTCGGAACTGGAACTGGAACGGCATGCTGGTATCGGCAACTGGACCCTTTTTTACAACTTCCAGTCGTATAAAAATGACAAGGGACGTTTTTTTCTCCGCACCAGTAACTATGCGGATTGCAACAGACTAATACCTGGACTTCGGTGTCTTTAAAGATCTCCTCCACCATATTTCAGATAACCCTCCAATCTAATTGGCGGCACTCCAACTTTGGCATGGCTAACTTTTGCACGTCGGACTCTAGTACGTGCTCTCTCAATTGAAGTAAGGCTTCCCATACATCTCGGTAGGTAGGTTGGTTACGCGCAGTGCCTTTTGTTACCAGGTAGAAAAGGTAACGGGATGAATCTTGAAGTTTCAAGGCTTTTCCGGGAGCTGGCACTTGGCATTGAAGTTCTGCAACTCGACCGAACTTCCTTCGAAAGACGGATGCCAACCCTGGTGCGTCTTTAATACTGGCCGGGATGGTAAGGGCCAGTGAGTAGTCATCGGGAAGCGCGAGTAGATCTTGCCTTTCTTCAGTGGTAAAACCATGTCTTTCTTTACCGGTACCGCCATAGGCACCCATGAATTCCTCAAACGTGAGGTCAGACACATCTTGGACTTGGTTTACTTCTACTTCTTCATCTACGTCGTGGTCACCTTCGAAAGACGCCAGCCGGTTATGGTGTACTATCATCGGCTTTCCCCTCGGAATCTTGCTTATTCGGTAAATGACATCATTGATCTTCTCCATAATGAGGTATGGACCTTCCCAAAACTGCTGCAACTTGGAAGAACAACCTTTTCGCTTTTTGGGATTATAAAGCCAGACTTTGTTGTTCTTCTTAAAACACCCCTTTTCGGCTTGCGCATAGTACCGTTTCTTCATTCGGTCACTAGCGATCTAGAGATGAGAATGGACCAACTCGTGTACATCGTCCATTCAATCACATAATCTTCACCTGCTACATCTTCTCCAGGTCGACACCCAAACTGTAGATCACAAGGTAGTCGCATCTCGCGTCCGAATAGGACTCTGGCTGGTGTCTGGCCTGTCGATTCGTTAACAGCAGATCTGTAGGCCATTGTGAAGAACGGAAGATATTGGTCCCAGTCTCGCTGATGATCGGACACCATCTTTGTCAAATACTTGCCAACTGTCCTATTCATTCGTTCTACCATACCATCCGATTGCGGATGATAAGCCGTAGTTCTTGTTTTCTTCATACCTAGTCTATCACATATTATGTAACATGTACGTGCCTCCATTATCACTTTCAGGAAATAGCCCAGCAATGTCCAAAGCTATTCTTTCAAACGGGCTTCCAACATTATATTGTCTCATAGGAGCTCTCCTTTTTCGATAAGGCCCGTTACTCGTAGCACAAATAGTACATTTCTTACACCAGTCTTTTACATCGTCGGAACTGTTCATCCAATAAAACCGTTCCCGAATTCGCTGAAGGGTCTTCTTCACACCAAAATGCCCTCCTGATGTACTGTCGTGTAACTGACGAAGTACTTCGGCTATTCTGCTCTTTGGGATCACCAACTGTCTTCTCTTCTCTGAACCGTCATCATTTTCCAGGACTCGTTTGAGCAAGCCATCTTCCATGATAAATGAGTCCCACTGGGCCCAATACGTCTTAACTACTGAGCCTAGGTTTGATATTTCTTGTCAAGGTGGTCGACGGTTCTCCTCTTTCCATTTTCGGATTTTCTGTATAACTGGATCTCTCTCTTGTTTTTCCCTGATCTTGGTAGGCGTCCAGTCGTCGTTGATCACCGTCGTTCTTAGCACTGCTCCTTTCTTGGATTTCGTTTTGTTGCAGTGGGAACACTCTGCTGGGCATGGCCTTCTGGAAAGAGAATCAGCGTTTCGGTGGCTAACTTCGGCCCGGTGCTCAATCTTGAAATTGTATTCTTGGAGTCGTTCGATCCACCTGGCTATCTGACCCTCTGGATTCTTAAACTGCATCAACCATTTAAGGGCGGCATGGTCGGTTCGGATTAGAAACTTCCTTCCATAGAGGTATTGATAAAAGTGCTCTACTGATTTCACTACTGCCAGAAGTTCTCTTCTCGTGACGCAATAATTCCGCTCAGGTTTTGAGAGAACTTTACTAAAATATCCAAGGACTCTTTCCTGTCCTCCTTGCATCTGAGACAGCACTCCTCCAATTCCCACATTACTTTCATCTGTATCTAAGATGAACTCTCCTTCTGGCAGTGGATACGCTAAAATTGGTGCTGTAATTAAATGCTTTTTTAAGGTCTCAAAGGCATTTTGGCAGTCTACATCCCAGCGGTATTCTCTTGCTTCCTCTGTAAGTCGCGTTAATGGTTTAGCGATATCTGCAAACTTCTTAATAAACCTCCGGTAATAAGTACATAGTCCAAGAAAACTTCTCACTTAATGTTTGTCAGTTGGTTTTGGCCATTCCTTAATGGAATCGATTTTTCCCTTATCCACGGCCACTCCTTCTTTACTGACTACATGACTCAGATAATTGACTTTACCTTGAAATAGCTAGCACTTCTTAACATCAATTGGGCAGCTTTAAGTCGATTAAAAACGTTTTCTAAATTCCTCAAATGATCTTCAAATGTCTCCCCCAAGACGATTATGTCATCTAGATAAACTAGGCATGTTTTCCAAGATAACCCTCTCAACACATTTTCCATAAGCCTCTCAAATGTCGCAGGAGCATTACAGAGTCCAAATGGCATAACGTTGAATTGCCATAATCCCGATCCTGTGGTGAAGGCTGTCTTTTCTTTATCTACCGGGTCCATTTCTACCTGCCAGTATCCAGACTTCAGACAGCAAGAAAGAATCGAATTTGTAGGTTTATACTACAAAAATAATAATTGTGCAAGAGCTGCTGCTAGAATTTTTAATGAAACACACCACAATAGACATGCAACTCATAAGTGTGTGATTGAACTGATGCAGAAAAAATTAGATCAAGAGGGTCAGTTTGCAATAAAAAACATAACCGACAGGAACTTGTAAATAAAAAAGCAATCCAAGTAGCTGTTTTAGGGCAAGTTAACTTAGACTCTTAACAATCACAGTCACTGTCAACAATAAGCAGAGCGCAATCGGTGTTTCATCTTCTACAGCCTTCCGAGTCCTCCATAAATTTAAGTTTTATCCATATAAAATTAAATTAGTACAAGAGTTAAATGAAGAAGATTTTGATCGTCGTCCCGAATGTTGCGAATTAATGATAAAATGCATCATTAACAATCCACAACTGTTAAACAATATTTGCTTCTCGGATGAATGCTCATTCTCATTAAACGGTTTGGTGAACAGATATAATTGCCGATACTCGGCTGAGAGTGATCCACATATTGTACGCGAATTTCACACACAGCATCCTCAAAGGTTAAACGTATGGTGTGGTATCCTACATAATCACATTATCGGACCCTTCTTTATCACTGGAAAATTAAGTGGTGCATCGTATCTTGAATTATATAGGCAAGTGGTTGATCGTTAGAACAATAGTAGCAAATGATGATAACCTTTCCGATGGTTTGGTTGTATTTCAACATGATGGAGCTTCTCCATACTTTGCTTTACCTGTGCGATAATTTTTAAACGAAACGTTTCCCGGTCCTTGGATAGGTAAAAGACGACAGATGATCGATTGGCCACCTAGGTCACCGGATTGAACACCCCTAGACTTCTTCTTGACCAATTACATTCAACAACTATTTAATGATGAAAGAGAAGAACTGTCATTAGAAATCACCGAGGATACTGGACCACCAATATTAAGAGAAGAAGTCATCTATGCCATCAAAAACACAAAAGAGGGTAAAGCTACTGGACTAGATGAGGTGCCCATCGAATTATTAAAACTCATCGATGAAGATGTTATTGATGTAATGGTTGAACTCTTTAATCTAATATATCAGACTGCCACAATCCCCAGACAATGGCTGCAATCAACCTTTGTAGCAATTCCCAAAAAACCAAGTTCAACAACTTGCTCAGACCACAGAACAATAGCTTTAATGAGTCACACACTTAAAACATTTTTGAAAATAATTCACAGCAGAATTGTTAAAACTCTTGAATATGAGATTAGTGACACACAATTTGGCTTTAGAAATGGTATGAGTACAAGAGATGCTTTGTTCGGCTTGAATGTGCTGGCTCAGAGATGCATGGACATGAATCAGGATATGTACTTATGTTTTGTAAACTTTGAAAAGGCATTTGATAAAGTTCAACATAAAAAGCTTGTAGATATATTAAAAAGCAAAAATATTGACAGTCGTGATCTGAAAATTATATCTAATTTATATTGGAATCAAACTGCCAAGGTAAGAGTTGACAGCCAGTACACCGAAAATATCAAAATACAGAGAGGAGTCCGCCAGGGTTGCGTGCTGTCCCCACTACTTTTCAATGTCTACAGTGAAGCGGTATTTCAAGAAGCGCTCTCAAACTCAATAGAAGGTATATGTATCAATGGAGAAGTTTTGAATAACTTACGTTTTGCAGACGATACAGTAATAATTACGGATAACAACAATGATTTACAGAACCTAATGCAACGCCTTAATGAACGCTGTCATGTGTACGGA